ATCAACTACTTCATCACCCCCTGTAAGTTGGAGCATGAATATCTTGAATGACCATCTTATCATGGAAGATATCAAACAAAGGTTTAGGTAAAGCCTTGGTAAATCAATCTGCCACTTGCTGATGTGAAGGAACACTCATCAGTTTGATTATCCTTTCATTAACTTTTTGTCTAACCACATGGAAATCAATCTCAATATGCTTTGTACGCTCATGAAATACATAATTTTCCCCTATAGCAATGGTTGAATGGTTGTTACAGAAGACAATAATGGGACTGCTAATATCTGCTCTTAAATCTGCTAGCAAATAGATGAGCCATTGAATCTCACAAACTGTGCTTGCCAAAGCTCTATACTCAGCTTCAGATGAGGATCTTGAAACAGTAGCCTGCTTCTTAGTCTTCCAAGAAATAAGGGAACTTCGAAGGTAAACACACTACCCTGTGACAGACTTCTTGGTTTCAACACATGTTGCTCAATCTGAATCAAAAAAAAGGCTTGGAGTTTGATTTCAGATTTGGAAGAGTAGAATAGACCTTTGCCTGGATTTCCCTTGAGGTACCTTAACACTCTGTGAGCTGCAGTCAGATGTACATCTCTTGGTTTATCTACAAACTGACTCAACTGCTGGACAACAAAGGAAATATCAGGTCTTGTATGTATTGGTTAAGCACAAGAGTTTGCCAACTAATTTCCTGTAAATTTCTGGACTGTCAAGAAGCTGTCCTTCATTGTTTGTGAGTCTTTGCCCTATGACACATGGTGTCTTAGCAGGCTTTGATTCAAGAATCTCTAAGGCATATTTTTTTTGACATAGGCTGAGGCCATCTAGAGTTCTCATGGCTTCAATCCCTAAGAAATAGTTTAGTTTCCCCAGATCTTTGATTTTGAAGGATGTGTCTAACACTTGCTTCAGCTCCTTGATCTGATTAGAGTTTGTACCTGCTATAAGAATATCATCTACATATATAAGCAAAGCCAGGTAAGAAGCAGTGGTGGATTTAGTAAAGAGTGAGGGATCAGCTGATGACTGTTGAAAGCCATTGTTTTGTAATGCTTTTGTGAGTTTAGCATTCCACTGTCTACTAACTTGTCTTAGACCATATAAAGATCTTAGAAACTTGCACACTTGATTTGGCTTATCACTCTTAAATCCTGGAGGTAGAACCATATATACTTCTTCATTAAGATCTCCATGTAAAAAGGCATTGTTGATGTCAAGCTGTTGAATGTCCCATCCTATGGCTACTTCTATGGCTAAGAATGTCTTAATGGTAGTTATCCTAGCCACAGGAGAAAAGGTTTCAAAGTAATCCACCCCCAACTGTTGAGTGAAATCTTTTGCAACCAACCTTGCCTTATGTCTTTCAATAGACCCAACAGCCTTGTGTTTAACTTTATAAACCCATCTACAACTAATTGGTGTCTTGTCTTTAGGCAGATCTTTTGACACGCCGTAAATCCAAATTCTATTTAAGGATTAATTAGATAATTAATCCTAGCTTAATTGATAATTTATTCCTAAAATCCTGAAAATTCAATAGTCAGAGGACTAGAAATTGACTAGTCAATCCAAGTCAATGGGTTGTACTCCATGCTTTATGAATTGTTCCCTTGTATCCTTACACTTCCCACTTTAGTAAGGGCAAAGAAGACTTTTCACCTTATGTTTGTGTCCCAAGCTAACCTAGAGTCATCCTTCATTTCTTTCCCTAACACCCTACACACAAAAGCTCCACCTTCTTTCTAGAAAATTGTTAGCTTCTTCTTCAAGCCAAGTTTTGGGCAATCCCAGATTCTTCAAGTTGGTCTCCAAGATTCAAACTTTCTTGGCCTTGAGCATAAGGGAGGGTAAGATACTTGATTCCTTAGTGTTTTTAGTACCTTTTTAGGTGTCTTTTCTAAAAGATAGAATCTTTGTTGTCTTTTGGTGTGTTCTTGAAGTTGAAGTTGAAGGAGTGCTTTAGGAGAAGCTTTAACAGTGTGAAAAGTGAAGGTTTAGGCTACAAGAGGTAACCCATGCTTTACAAAATCTATTTTCCGACCTATATGATGATTTCTTGACTTCTACTTGTGATTTTTGATATGAAATGTGAGTTTTGATGCATTGTCTTATGAAAATGCATATCTAGAGTTTGTTATTAGGGTTCTTGTATACCATTGCTTGGCTATTTCTTGGATTCAAGTCATATTTTTATTTTGTGAGATTTTGGGTGTTTTGGACTTCTTGTTGAAAATCCTCGAAGGGATTATTTTGTGGTACAGGACGTACCCGCGGGCGGAACGGCGGGCAGTGGCATACCCGCCGCCCCACCCGCGGGGTACACTTGGCTGGGAGAATGGTTCCCGCGGGCAGAACCACGGGTGGAGGTCCACCCGTGGCCCCACCCGGGGGGTACACGTTTGGTGATGTTCAGGGATTTGTTCCCCGTGATTCTTTTGACTTGGTAATTGATTTTTGACCTCCCGATGTTGTTTTATTGGGCTATTTGAGTGTCTTCTTGATGTTTCGTATGTCTAGAACGGTATGTTAGGAATCCATGTAGGATTTTGGTGTCTTGAATCGTGCTAAGTGTCCAACTTTGTGATTCATTGGACTATGATGAGTCTTGTATGTTCTACGGAACTATGTTTGGTTTACCCGTTTGATAAGCATGCTAGTTTGATGTTGAAATGCTAGTGTGTGCGGTTTGTTCTTCCCTTGTGAGAATGACAACTTGTGTTGATCATTGTTTGGAGTCGGATTGTAGTCCTTCCTTGATTGAGTATGGTTTCATATCTTTGTTGTGATCCATTGATTGACTCTTGTGATGGAAAATGTGTGTATTGGCTGTACCTTGATTGCACGGTTAATTGTATGGGACATTAATCACCAAGGTACAGATGTGGTCCTCGTGGTGGCCATGAATTGAGTTTGGTGGTTTGTTATCGTGAGTTTAGCTCACATGTTTGGTGGTTTTGTTATATGATCTTGCAATGTACCCTCGTGTACTAAGCGTTCGGCAGTATTATTTGGCTATTGTTGGTGGGGGAACGACGGTTCCCGGAGGCATAAGGTTGGACTCAGAAGTACAGGGGTTCTCGGAGGTAAAGGTTGGAACCGTAATAAGGCCGGGGGTAGACATAAGGTTGGAACATGTGACATGAAGTGTCACGGTGGCATGTAGTGCCAATGACTAATGTCTATTCTTTTCTGATGAGCATGTCGAGTGGTATTCTACTTTGTGATCAGTAGAATACGCCTCGAGTTGTACTTGTTTATTGTTGTTGTCTTTGCCTTGATGTCTTCTACTTTGTGATTAGTAGATTACATCTTGAGCCGCGTTGAGTTGTGCTGTTGTTGTCTTGTCTTGACGTTTTCTTGGGATGTTGATTTCCCTTGTTCTTTTGAGAGTGAAATAGAGTCTTTGCAGTTGACTTCTCTCTTTGACTTTGAATTGATATATACTGTATTCCGTTTCGAAAATGATTTTGTATTATACTATATATATATATATATATATATATATATATATATATATATATATATATATATATATATATATATATATATATATATATGCTATTGAACACGTATTGATGGGTTACCAGCAATATTCGTTGACCAGGCGTCGTCCCCTTTCTTTATGTTGCTTTACAGGTCTTGAGTAGACATGGCAAGAGCGTTAGCCGTTAGTAGTTTAGCTCCCTTGAACAATGTAGTTAGTGTTTTGGCCTGTGTACCACAGTTGTTGAACAAAATAGTTTGATGGTTTTAGACTTGCCTGTGCATTCACGTTGAGGTGAATGTGGCATAACACTCCTTGGTTTTCCCTGTTTTTATATTAGACTTTCGTTGTGCTTACGTTTTATAATATATGTTAGCTACCTTACCTTGCGTATTTAAGTTTTAAAATGGCATGAAAATTGGGGGTGTTATAGTTGGTATCAGAGCCTAGGTTTTAGTCTAGGATGTTAGAGTCTACACTTTTAAGAAGTTAAGTGTGGTTTGAGACCCTAAGATGACCATAAGTATCTAAGTGTTTAAAACTTAGGACTTTTAGGACGCATGGTGAGCTGTGTGTTGCTTATAGTTTTTTCTGCTTGCTTGTTGTTTCTGTTTAGTTTCGTGTTCCTTTGGTTAGCGACATGTAAGGGTGCGTTGTTGTTTGTGCCTATCGTAACCGTGTTGTTGTTGTAGAAGTATCGCTATGGCTCCGCCTCGCCAACGTGCGGTAGCGCTTGACGATGCTAGCGGTGGGGCTAAGAAACCCAGGATGGTGGGAGTTCACAACACTCCCAGTGTCGTAGAGCAATGGATCAGGAGTGGTACGTCCACTCGAGTAAGCCCCAGTGATGCTACGGTACCGCCCCCTCGTGAGCAAAAACCGATTGGAAGCTTGGGAGTTCAGAACTCATCTGGAGAGTCTTCACGTGAGAAGACTCTTGTCTTAAGTGAAGCTCAGGCTGGAGACGGCGACGTGGTGACAGGAACCTTTATGGTGCAATCGCTTCCGGCCGTAATCTTGTTCGACTCCGGTGCATCCAACTCGTTCATATCGCCAGGGCTCGTGAAGAAGCTGGGTTTGTCTAATGGCGTTGAAGTGAAGCTGAATGTGAAGGTGGCTTCCGAGGAAATCAGGTCGTGCGACCGTCTCTTCAAAGATGTTAAGATAGTCATCGGTGGAGAGGAGTTCCCCAGTAATCTGATCCAGTTCGGCTTGGACGGTGTAGATGTAGTCTTAGGCATGGATTGGCTGGGACAGTTCAAAGCTCAGATTCTTTGTGGTGAGCAGAAGGTGGTACTTAGAGGACCAAGCGGGAAGAGGGTGTCTTATCGAGGGACAGCAGGGGAGTCCGGAGTCAAGTTGGTATCGATGTTAAGGATGAAGAAGTACGTTGAGAAAGGTCACGAAGTCTATCTGTGATCCGTCGAGAATTTGAAGGCAAAGGGAGATGCGGCTCAATCCATACCTGTGGTGTGCGAGTTCCTTGACGTATTTCCCGAGGAAATCCCGGGCATGCCTCCCCCTAGAGAATTTGAGTTCTCTGTAGATCTTGTGCCTGGAACGGCGCCTATATTGAAGGCTCCTTACCGTTTAGCACCCAAAGAGATGCAAGAGTTGAAGGTTCAGTTGCAAGAGTTGTTGGACAAGGGGCATATTCGACCTAGTACATCACCGTGGGGAGCGCCTATGCTTTTCGTAAAGAAGAAGGATGGAAGCATGAGACTGTGCATTGATTATCGCGAGTTAAACCAAGTAACAATCAAGAACAAATATCCACTACCAAGGATCGATGACTTGTTTGACCAACTCAGAGGTGCAGGGGTATTTTCTAAGATCATTTGGCATAGCTCACACGCGTATCATCCAACTCTTCTAGCATGGTTCTTGGTGACTTATATGCATCATAATTGTGTTAAGCTATAATACCGCTTAACTTCCTCAAATAAATTATGATCTTCAAGACTTGTACGTGGGTTGCATGATATGGGTGCACCATACTCTGTAGACTCAAAACTGACTCAAACAAAATAGAATTGGGGACTACTTGATTTTTCAAAAAATACATTCGGCTCATCAAAATTTACAATTTATTCCTAACAATAACCCCATGGACTCCCATCATATGTTTGGCTCTGCGAAGTCATTGTTTTATAGATAGAAATGAGTATAAATGCTTGATTCTTGAAGTATTTGAGCTATTAAGTGATCTATTACTTGCCTATGATGTATTGTTGATGTTTTGGATGTGCTAGAATTGCTTGAGAATGCTTTACAGATGAAAAGAAATCATCTGGTGCACAAGCAGTGTGCACCAGTAGAGGCACCGGCCCCAACCAACGGCCCAACAAGGGGACCGTTGGTTAGAGTCGTGCCAGCCGGGCCTAGGGAACGGCCCTAGGGGAGGGTCGTTGCCTAGAGCCGGCAAGCTAGCGGATTGAGGGGGCGGGCCTTGCTGAGCCCCGCCCCATGGTCCGTGAGATGCTCCTGTGCAGTGGCCGGGCCCTTGTGGCTCAGCTACGTGTCGTTTTGGACCAGGTGTCACGGGCCCTTGTGGCTCGGTACCTCGGGGCCGTCTTGACGCACGTTTGGGCTTTTATTTCGTTGAATTTGGATTAGAAATGAGCATGTTATGATGGAATTTGTGATGAAATGCTTCACTGTTATATAATTTGAGTTCACTGCCTTTGGGAATTGCTTTGTTTTATCCTCCTAATGCTATTTGTGTATTGAATAGAGAAGCATGAACACTTTGTGAATAAGAGTTGTTAGAAAAACATGACTAGAATGTGTTGTATGTTCAATGGAATTTGAAGCCTATTTTGTTGGTAGAAATGTACAGAGTTTGTCATTTTGCAAACAAGCATGATTGTATATTCTTGAGAGTTCACTGTGCTATATAGAATTGAAGTATGATTGTATAGTATTCTTGCATTTCAAGCAAATCATGTCTTTATAAGAGCATAAATGGCCAATGTGAGCCTAAGTATTATTTTCCAAAATTCATGAGCATATGGTATATCATTACCTTGTTGCACTGAGAAGTTGTTGAGTTGTGGCATGCATAAGTTTGGTGCATGAGAGATATATATATTATCTATCTATATATGTGAGGTTTTGGAGGACCCGTTTGGACTACGTCCTCTCGGAAGAAAGAAATGGGCATTGCGGTCCAAATTTATGTAACGTGGCGTATTCCCACGTTACGAGGTTGGAAACTGCCTGCCAGGCTTGGAATCCTGGTCAGGGGGTGTGCAGGCCAAAAGTTCGATACCTGATTCCACAGATTTGATTTTTGAACCAAGAAAGTGGTTCGGTGGATGAGATGAGCATAGGTCGGCTAGAGGCCGTACCGGGATAGGTTCGTTCACGCTACGGTGAAGTTCCTACCTCATCCATTTGTAAAGAAAGCAAGTCATTGCGACTCTAAGAAATGAAAGTAAGCGAGTCCTTGTGGCTCTAATAGACCTCCACAGAAAAATATTCTATTTACAAACGAGTGTATAAGTATACTTATAGTATTGCACGAGATTGCATAATGAGAATGTTGCACGAGATTGCATGATGAGAATGTTTGCACTAGATTGCATAATGAGAATGATTAACCAAGATTGTATATTGAGCATGATTGCTTTAGTTGCATTTTGATGCCTTATATATCTAGTTTGCATGATGAGAATTCGAAAGCATGAGAATAATTTCGTATTGATTGATAGCAATAGCATGAGTTCGTTATGATGAGTTTTGTTATGAGAAGTATGTGTTGGAGTGATTTTGTTGATATTATAGGTTGCGAGCATATAGAAAGTCTGTGATGTATCTTAAAATTGTCTAAGTGTTGAGATTGTTTGATTAGATTTGTGAACAAATGTTTTTCCAAAGTATATACTGTAGTACTTTACAGGGTTGAGTGTGGTTATACTTAGCTTCGTGCTAACGGGAGTTTTCCTACTTGTCTACTTGTTGTTTTGCAAAACCCCTTTCAGGTGGGCCTAGCGTTTGAGAGTTGATCGAGTTAGACTAGCTTAGTAGATCTAGTAGTCCAAACTCTTTTTATTTTTATGATGTTATGATGAAGGATTGTAGACTTATGCTACCTATGTTTGATGATAGACATCGGGGTGTTTTTCCCCAAGTGACTTTAAACTAAGTAATTTGAATGTTAGTTTGTTTTAATGAATTAGTTCCATCCTTAGCCTGTGCAATCACCGTGGAGATGTGATTGTGGCGGTGACATTCCCACTAGTTGGTTATTTTAGTTTGTTTATCCGATGTTTAGATTATCTTGATTTTGGTTTTAGAACTGTAATTAAGTTTAAGAAAAGTGGGGTGTTACAAAAACCCTACAGGACATACACTCTTCCAACAAAACTTGGAAACTCGCATTTGTGTTTGTTTCTGTAAGCCCGAACTCCTCATCATCCCCTTGGAATGACCGCTTTCAAAAATACAAGACCCTCGGCACAACCCCACCATGCATAGAGCCTATGTTGAGTGAGGAGAGCATGGCTGGTTTATGCTTCACACCGGGCACCCCTCTTCCGCTTATGTTGCGCGGACCGCGTACGGCCGAGTTCTCGCTTGAGCTCAGCCACGACCGAGCCCTCCTCTGGGGATACCTCCGCACCCCCGCCTTAGGCCGAGCTCGAGCTCTCCATATCCTCGCCAAGATGTTGTCTTCTACATTCCCTTCGTTTGCCCTCTCTTTGTACCATGGGCGACCGTGTGGATAAATACCGCAAGAGATTGCAATCCAAAAGGCAAAAGACTACCGAGGTGGTGGGGCACGCACCACCCGCCGCGACACCGCTCCAGCCGCCTCGGTGCTCCTAGTGCCTCCTGCCGCACCTCGGCCGCCGCCTTTGCCTCACCGTTCAAGTCCTACCCGAGTTCGTGGGGGACCCCACCCGGACTCATGAGCTATTCTGTGGCTTGATATCTTCCAACGGTCCGGAGACTATTCACTTGGATGATGCTAACTCCCGTCTCTTTGAGGTAAGTCTCCCCTCTCTTCTCTTGCACCTTAATTAAAACCAAGTGTCTCACCCCTCTTTTTTGCAAATTGTCCTTCACTGCGACTCCGTTTACGAGAGTCACGAGACTCTCAAGAGGCGGGTTGCTGGGCTCTCTCGGACTTTGGAGTCGAAGGAGGAAGTTTTGGAGCAGGAGAGGCAATTTCACAGGCTTGAGCAGAAGAGGCTGAAGGATGAGCTGGGTCGCGTCGTCCCAACCTATCATAGGTCCCACCAATTCAAGTTGGTCACCATGGCACACGCCCGAGGTCACATGCACGAGCTGTTAGAGGAGTGGCTCGCTTCGGAGGACGGGAAGAACCGTCTGGTAGATGAGGGATTGGCCGCCTATGAGGCGGGTTTATACACAATGCAGTAGGACATTTACACCATCTTGCAGCAAGAGGATAACTCTTTTGATCTAGTGGCGAGGGGCCTACCGGACATACTTTCCCATCCGGGTACTTCTGCATGCGGCTCACCAACCCCATCAGATGGAGTCCCTACCCATAATGGTGCGACGGAACTGAGAGGGCTGGATCAGTTTCTCGAAAATCAACCTACACATGCTAGCCTTATCTCCCCTTCCTTGGAGAATATTCACCTTCCCGCGAGCATGGAGACCCTCGGCGATGAGATCGCAGCTTACAATGCCTCCACCAGTGCTCCCGACCTGAATGCTTAGATTTAGCTTGCTTTGGTTATCTCCTTATTTTGCTCTGTATTTGGACTTGATATTTTGAATGAAATATTTGCATTTCCTCATCACTGCTTTCACCTCCCGGCTCCACGAACTTCGTTTAGTTAAGGCCAAGGCACGAGGCCTTGGCCAAAACAAGGCCCGAGGCCTCGGCCAAAACCAAGGCACGAGGCCTCGGCTAAAGCCAAGGCCCCGAGGCCTCGCCCAAGACCAAGGCACTTTATCCGAGAGAAGGTTGCATCCGAAGACATCATTACCACATTTGTTGGGTCAAATGATCAACTTGGTAATGTTCTCACTAAATCATTTTGTGGATCTAGAATTGAATACATTTGTAACAAGCTTGGAGCATTTGATTTGTGCACTTCAATTTAAAGAGGAGTGTTAGAAATATTAGAAAATATTTGTCTTGGCAGCCCTTTCTCATCCCTATTTACTCTAGCAACTAGAGCCTTGAGGAGAGTAGTTTTGTACTTTTCTTAGGCAGTGTTAAAATCTACAGCCACAAGAAGCCATGCATGCATTAGAGTAGGAGTAGACCAAGGCACTTTATCCGAGAGAAGGTTGCATCCGAAGACATCATTACCACATTTGTTGGGTCAAATGATCAACTTGGTAATGTTCTCACTAAATCCTTTTGTGGATCTAGAATTGAATACATTTGTAACAAGCTTGGAGCATTTGATTTGTGCACTTCAATTTAAAGAGGAGTGTTAGAAATATTAGAAAATATTTGTCTTGGCAGCCCTTTCTCATCCCTATTTTCTCTAGCAACTAGAGCCTTGAGGAGAGTAGTTTTGTACTTTTCTTAGGCAGTGTTAAAATCTACAGCCACAAGAAGCCATGCATGCATTAGAGTAGGAGTAGACTATATCAACTTATTATTTTTGTTAAATAAGTTAGTTCAGCTTGTATAGTTGATAAATTGCTTTTTCTGGTGGACAAACTCTTATTTATAGTTTTTTTTGTATCTAATTCTAAAGTGAGAAATAATATACCATTGAGCTTGGTTTCTTCTTTCACCACAAAATTCAACATGGTATCAAAGCTTTTTTAAGTTGTTTCCGTTGTTATTTATTTTCATTCCCTATGACTAGTAATAATTCGGAAGAAACATTACCAAACTGTCATATTACAAAATTGTCAGATTTGATAGTCAAGGCTAATGCATTAGTAGCATCTTTTAAGCTGATTGCTTACGAAGGTAAAAATATTTTTTCTTCCCATACACCCATCTGGATTGTTGATACAGGTGCAACGGACCATATTGTTAATAACATTGCATGTTTTATGACTTTTCGCAAAACTAATCGTATGCATGTTATGTTGCCCAATGGAAATAAAACTGTAGTTACACATGTGGGTGATGTACAGTTATCTTCACACATAATTTTACGGGATGTTATGTGTGTTCCAGAATTTGATTTTCACTTGATTTCTGTTGGCAAGCTAACCAAGGATATGTGTTGTTGTGTGGTTTTTTTTTTTTTTTTTTTTTTTTTTTTGCTGGATATTGTGAGATACATACTGGGATGAGCAGGAAGACGATTGGTTATGCTGAGAAGGGGCAGGATCTATATCATTTCAGAGAGACAGAGGAAGAGTTATCTATAGAAAGATATGCTATGTCTCCTATTTCTAGCTTTGATATATGGCATTTGAGACTAGGTCATCCCTCTTCCAGGAAACTAAAAGGCTTGCGAATGCTTGATAATTCAATAGAATGCAATCCCCATTTGGTTTGTGGTATTTGTCCTTTGGCTAAACAAAAACGGTTACAATTTCCCACTAGTATTACATCATGTACTAAAAGTTTTGAGTTGATTCATGTGGATATTTGGGGTCCATATCACGTTCCGTCTATTTATGGGCACTATTATTTTTGACAATTGTAGATGATTTTACTCGTGCTACGTGGGTATTTTTTTATGCAAAGTAAACAAGAAACACACTTATTGCTTAAAAATTTTGTTGTTTTGTTTCTACACAATTTGAGAGTAATATTAAGTGTATTCGAACGAATAATGGCCAGGAATTTAATATGAAAAATTTTTATGAAAGTCAAGGTATTGAACATCAAACTTCTTGCTAAGACACGCCACAACAGAATAGTATTGTTGAACGCAAGCATCAACATATTTTGGCTGTATAAAGCCTTACAACTACTAGCTGTGAGATCCAATGGTTTTTATTCTTGCTTGTTGATCTGGAAATTACGATACCTTCTCCGGCATTGTTATTTTCTTATAGTCAATCTGCATTTGCTATTGTTGCGAATCCAGTATTTCATGAGCGGACAAAACACATAGAAATTGATTGTCATTTTGTTCAAGAACATATCAAAAAATGAATTTTGAAAATTATATATGTTTTTAGTGCCAATCAATTAGCAAATTTCTTTACGAAGCCACATGCTCTCACTTTATTTCAACGATTCAAGACCAAGCTAGGCATACACTCTAGCTTGTGAGGGGGTGTTAAAATCTACAGCCACAAGAAGCCATGAATGCATTAGAGTAGGAGTAGACTAGATCAACTTATTATTTTCGTTAAATAAGTTAGTTTAACTTGTATAGCTGATAAATAATTTTTTCTGGTTGACAAACTCCTATTTATAATTTGTTTTGTATCTAATTCTAAAGTGAGAAATAATATACCATTGAGCTTGATTTCTTCTTTCACCACAAAATTCAACAGGCAGTTTGATTTTTATTATGCCTCTTCCCAATGCTTTCTTTAAGCCTATATATTGATATGCAATCTAGAGTAATACAGATGAATAAGAAACATTGTAATATTATTCTAAAATAGCCTTTTAACAAGATGCAACTGGTAGTGGGAATTGCCCGGTCAATTCTTGTTTTTAATCAACTTTGGTGAGAAAAGGAAAGAGTTCTTTATTTGATCAGCATGTGATGATATTTGGCATATTGGCATTCCAGGTGTGCTTCTGGATGATTGAAATTGAGTATATGGATCGGTGAATTTGAGTATCTTTTCTGTGTTTGGAAGTTGAAACAAAACCAAAAAAAAAGATAAAGAGTGATTGTTTATTGTGTTAGAAGGGGTGAAGATGGTAGCAGCTCTGGGTGCACATGATATAATAGAAATAGCGTGAACCATGGACCACAGTTCAAAAATGATGTCGCTGGATTTATCTTATTAAATCTTGTTCATTGCTCCTGCAGTTGAGGGATCTCTACTGGTAACTAGAAGACATAAAATTTACTAATTTTCTCAGGAGGAATAGCACTCCAGCCCCGGGTTCCCAAGACCTTCACTTACCAACAAAATACGCCTAACCTTTCATCACTCAATGCCACGCTTGCCTAAGACCCAAACATAGCATAAGAAATATCAGAACTGCCTTCTTTTCACTCTCAATGGATTACTTTCTTTTTGACTTCCATCTATCAAATCATGAATATGTAACAGATCCAAACAAGACCTGGCAAATCTTATGGGAGCTATGTATGCTGCTGTTTTGTTACTCGGAGGGTATGTTATAATCTAAATGGACCTAAAAAGAGTTCAAAAATCCCACACCCCCCGAGTCAAACAAGAAAAATCTAATATTACCATATTCACATTCCTGAGATTCAGTCACTATAATAAGGGTATTTGAGAGATCCCAGAGAGATACAGGGTGTCAAGACAATGATTATTATGCAGGAGTAATTCCAAAATGAATTTGAATATGAAGAATTCAGCTTTACTGTGACAGAGAAAGTAATGCACACAAGGAGATAATATTACCATTGAGATATTCATGTTATAATTTCCAAAGATATTCAAGTGCACATCTAAGCTGAAGTATGTGTTGCAGATGGGAGTGCAGAAAGAAGAAAAACAAATGTAGATTAAGGATTAAAGGAGATGAGGAAAACAGTAAAGCAGAAGAAAACAATGGTGGCCATGAAAAAAGCTTATCCAGCAAAAAGTAAGATTAGTATTTAAACAGGATATGGAATGGCACAGGGCCGAATCATGGTTAAGAGAAACATGATAGTACAGACAATTTGAAGTAAAGAAAAACCAATACCAAAAGGGTGCATAATTTAGTGGTGGCATGGAATATTTATGTGGTTTCTACATTTTCTCATCATTGCCAGAATCAAAAAAATTATACTCCGTAACTAATTATGTACTAATTCAACAGTATGCTCAATCAACTTCAAACAAATTATAACTATAAATCAATAGCACTACATCACTAAAAAAAAAATTTTGTTTATGGAAAGCATCAGGCCGGTACACACCTATAATTCTGTATAGCACAAACCTGACTATAACTTGTAATAAAGGAAAAACAGGAAGGACCAATCCCATCATCTTAGTGGGCAATAGACAAGCAAAAGCTAACACTCAAACGATGAATATATAAAGTAAAAATCATTCAACCTAACACTAAGCACATCTCAAGATTGAATTAATGACAAAAGATCACCATCTTGTGCTGTATATATGATTATATAAATTGACTAATTTCACTGATGAATCATCATAGCTCAAATCAGAATCTCATAATTGTTTCAAGTAGGGCATCATCAAGTAAAAGTAAGGAAATATGAAAGTGGTCGCAACTTAAATCCAACTCAACAATAATTAAGTAACTACAGATGCATGTGCTAGTAAAAATTGAATCTTTCATTCAATAACATAATCTTTCAGATGCATAATTTTGAAACGCCACAAATCTGAAATGTGAGTCTTAAAACAAACTAACTCAAAATTTAGGCATATCAGTTCCCCATTAAACTTCAAATGGAAATAGGACAAAGGTCTGTGATTAGTCACCCTTTCTCCTGAAAGAGCATCCCTCAGTGAGCCTGGCACGCCCACCAGTCGGCTGGCACAACACTGTCTGGCAGTTCCCACACACCACAACCGTCTGAGAGTGACTGAACACAGTTGTTCTGCATACATCCACCCCAAATAATATCATTAACAGCATCATGATTTACATTGGTAATTAACATTAACACCAAACCTAAAAACCTAAATTCAAGACAGATTACATACAAAATTACAAATAAAGAGAATACAGAACTTACATGTTGAAGCAGCCTTGGCACTTGACATCCTACAAGAAAACCCAAATCACAAAACAACTTGAAAATCCCAGCACAGTAACGAAAAAATTTCACTAAAACAGATTATACTTAAAGGAGAACACAGCATAGAAACAAATCTAACGTAAAAGAGACGCACCATGAAGAAAGAGTTGGGAGACTGCACGAGACGCTTGAGCTTGTGCTTCTTCTTCTCGAGCTCGGCAGGAGGGTTCAACAAATCGATATCGTTCGGTAGAACCTACAATTATCCACGCATTCATACAACAAAAGATCAGTATAATAATCGATAATCAATGATCTGAAAGAAAAAAAAAAAAAAAAAAAAAACAATCGAGGTCCAGGAAGATTTACCATTGTGTTGAATGTTGATGAACGAAAACCCTAGAAGGCCGCCGTATGAAGAGAGCCGAGAATAGGTTCGTTGAAGGTCGGCGACGAGAGGAGGCAGTTATTAAATAGCTAGGGTTTATATCGTATTGTTAATGTTAATACTATTTGTATATTGACCGACGTGACTTATAGACTAGCGATATTATTATTATACAGCGTTTGAAGGGAATTTAAATTTTCTTCCCACCTAATTTCAAAGATCACAAAATTCATTGTTTGGTTGAATGGAATTACGGAATTGCAATGCCCCCATTTTCATGGAATTAAAATCTTATGTATTTCTTGAGATTTTAATTCCTATGATTTTAGGAAGTAAAAAAGATAGTGATGAATCAAAATGACCCCTTCCATTTTCAACTTAAAATTAATGGTTAACAACAACAATGGACATTTTTGACTTTATACTACTTATTCCCTTTCAATTACCATGTATACCAAATATTGAAATTGAAATTCCCAGTAATTCTATTCCTGTAAACCAAACACTGAAATTTAAATTCCCAGTTTATTCTCAGTAATTCATCTCTCATGGAATTGCAATTCATTTCCCACGTAATTCCTCCTCTCCAACCAAACGTCCTGTTATCATTCTTATTACTAGTAATTGTCTCGTGCAATGCACGAACTATTATTAATTTAACAAATTTACCAATTAAATTTTTGGCATTCTCTGAATTGGCAAATAAAGTAATGGTTGTGGAAACAAAAATACGTACTTGAGTTCTTGAGATCAGAATTAGTTTGATTAAAAATTTTAATATAACTATACAATGTAATATTTAATATTTTTAAAAGTTTAATTATGCTATTATTATGTTGATTTTAAAGTTTATTGTTGATTGTATTATTATTTGAATTGGATTATTTTTTTTAAAGAATTTGAATTTGTAATAACTACTTTAATTATATAACTAACGTATTTAAATAAAACTTGTAATAAATAAAATAACAGGTGATATTTGTCAAAAACCTCCACCAAAAACTTATTCATTTGAAAAAGATTATATATGTAAGAACTATATTTATTTTATATCTAATTTCTCCTCTTTATATATGTGGAGTCAAATTAATTATAATTGAGGTTTAAATTGAATATATACACAAATTATATTAAATATAAAACTTTACCAATAAATTTGAACAAATTACACATCATTTTCAAAAGTTTATCAATGCATGAAAACTTCTAAAGAATTTGTATGTTAATTTTTACTATATCATTATAACAATTGTAGCAATTGTTTATCATCATCCACTATTGACAACAATTGTAGCAATTGTCATTAAAAAACTTCCAAAATAATTTGTCTTAACAACGAACGGAAATTTAAAAAAAAAAAAAATCAAGGACTTCATTATTATGGATGAAAAGTAAGTACTCAACTCTATTACTCTTATTAAATTAAATAAATTAATAGCTAAAACAAAAAAAAAATACATATGCATTTCTTTAATTTAAAAATTAAATGTCTATAATGTCTTTATTTAAAAAAAAAAAACATTATCAAAAAATTAAATAAAAATATAATTTCATTAGTTATATTGTCTTTATTTTTTCTAGAGTTAAATCCATTTTTGGTCCTACATTTATTGCGCGAAGGACACATTTTACCCGGTTTTATTAATTTAGTCACATTTTGTCCAACCTTTTTAAAAAGTGGACAGCTTTGGTCCACCGTTACATTTGCTGTTAAGTTACCGTGAAGTAGAAGGGCAATTATGTCCTTTCATGTGCAATTATTCATCAGTTGTAATTTCACCAGCTTCTTCACTGTTTGTAGACCAAAACTTCACCATTTGCAGACCCAAGCTTTCACCATCAAAATACTGCCAATCACAAAAACAAATTTGTCAACAACTTCAAGGTAAAAATAAAGCCAAAAGCGTTAAAAATAAAATAAAAAACTAAGTTAAAATAAGGCTCCACTACAAAAATGAAGGTAAAATGCCAAAATTTCAGTAAGAAACAATCCCAACACACACACAGTAAACATTTACATTACCAACACAGAAACATTTACATTAGAATAGATACTAGATGAAGACAAGAGATGAATGAAGACAACACGCCGCCACGCCGACATTCTTCACTCCCCGCGCTGTGAGAATGCAATTCTCTCTGTGTCGGCACTGAATCGAAGCGAAAACAGAGTCCATGGATCAGTCCACTCCGTCAGAACAACAACACACAACAACACCGCAATCAATCTAACTATATTACATTAATTTAAACAAAGATGTTTAAATCAATGAATGAATCGACTTCACGGAGACAGGGCTTGTTAGACATGGGCATTTGCTCGATTGTGAACTGAGTGTAGGCGAAGAGTGAATCGAGGACAGATTTGAGAGTGCTCTTCTTGGGGATGAAGATGAACTCGTCCACATCAAAGAAGAACATCCATTTCGCCTGGAATTTGTACCTATGTAAGCAATCGTTGATGATGAGGAATTGATTGTGATAGTAGCCGTCGAACCTTTCTTGATCCCTAATGTCCTGTAGCGTGACGAAGCCTTTCTCCATCCACAGCTGCAGAACCTCCATCACGGCCGGGTGGATGCCGTCGGCGTTGTGGATCACGAAATGTGACTTCTCGCCCAAATTCCCGTGCAGAGATAAACTAGATCAAGGATTAATCTTGTCTAGATTTCGGTACGAGGGAGACCAAGAAATGAATAAGAGCACGTGAAATGACACAATTGTCCTCCCACTTCACGGCTCATTAACAACAAATGTGTCAATGAGGATTTAACTCTTTTTTCTACATTTTAAAAAGACTGGGTAAAATGTGGTTAAATTAATAAAATCAGGCAAAATGTGTCAATCGCACAATAAATATAGGACCAAAAGTGGATTTAACTCTTTTTTCTACAATGCAAAGATTTCTTACTTTCAAATTCATTAATTATTGTCCATTGTCTTCTTTTTAGACTATCTTGTAATTAAATATCAAAGTTATAATAAAAAAATATGTTATATATTTATTTACCAATTATTTTATTAATACCATAAAAAAATAAAAAATAATTTGAAGCCAGTCATATTAACTACTTGGGATGATTTGTTGACAAAGAAGGTATTCAAATAATCCAAAAAATTGAAGCGAAAAACTACCCCGTAATATTTATGGACTACATCACAGTTGTTTACTTAAAGGTAAATCATATTTATTTATTATGATGATTTAAAATGTATAAATTTTTACTATCTTATATAATCTTATTCCTTAAATAAATTAGGAATTTCTCTATCTTCAAGAGAACTCATTCAACAATAATGGTTGAACCAAAAGTACCTCGAGGAGAACACCTAAAGGACTTGTATGTTTTTATGTTGATAATAATATGTAAATGGTAATTACATTATTATCTTAAGTAGATACATTTAAAACTCATTATTAAAAATACCAATGTAAGGCAATAGAACATCATGACACATTTGACGCATTGAAGAAAATGAAGAAAAAAAAAATCAAAAATAGTCATCGTTGCACATTCATTATCTTGTATGTAAAATATTTATTGGCATCATTTAAATATATTAGAACTAATATAAATTTACAATTTATTTCATTTTCTAGACTTAACCTATTTGGATTAAAGGCAAAATTAGCATCAACCTTGACAACAAAAACACTGAGTATTTGGACTACCTGCAAAGTCATTGTTGTTACTATCAAGTAAACAAGTTATGAAACTATAACAAGAGGTACTACTCATAATAAATATTAATATTTGTTCAATACTTGCACATGAGAATCTACGACACATATCTCACAATACATGAAACATGTAGAGGAAAAAATTATCACTGCCAAATATGAACAGACGCATGCAAGATCAAGAGTTCATAGTACAACTAAAATCTGAGTCATATACACTACAATGCAAATTCATAGTTTCCTACACCATAATCTCATTGCATGACGCTGACATCTATGCTACCACCAGTAACCCAATTGCACATGACACACTACTAATAAAAAGAAGATGACAAATACTGATGATAAAAACAATGACAATGCTACGCAAAAGAGAATTAAGAAGACTTAGAGAAATTCAACCAAAAGTAATATTTATTTAAACTATCATTTTTAGGCTAAGTATTTAGACTAGCGTTATTATAAAGTTGCAAATATTTATTTTAGTGATAATTATAATCAATCTCTCATATATTATCTTGCATTCATATACTTTGAATTACTGGTTTAAATAAACAAATTCAACATTCAATTACCTATGCATGACCATCTCCTATATAATCTTGCATTGATATACTTTAAAGTACTTGTTAAAAATAAACATTGGGCATTATCCCTTTCGCGCAATGCGAGTAAAAAACTAGCATACTATAATAAAGCAGAACCTTTTTGAAAAAAAAAATTATTTTCGTTTTCCTGACCAGTGAAACCGATGTAGTTTTGATAGATTGAGATTAACATGCATGAGTGCATTTATTGTGTTTACTAGTACTTCATATGCGCGATGCGCAAAAATATATGCTCAATATTAATATTTAATGTTAAAATCTTAATTATATTAATATATATATATATATATATATATATATATATATATATATATATATATATATATATATATATATATATATATATATATATATATATATGTGTGTGTGTGTGTGTGTGTGTGTGTGTGTGTGTGTGTATTCAAATGAGGACAAGTATATTATAGAGGACTGTGAGGACAGATGTAGTGTGTGCCATTAGCCGGTATGACGTGTGCATGGCCGAATGTAGTCGTGTGCCACAGTCTGTATGTCGCGTGCTAGATTTGTTAATTTATAGAGCCTGGGTTCGAAACCTGATGTTTACATTTATTCTTGTGTGCCATTATGTATTAAGTTGTGTGCCAGAAATTAATTTGTTGTGTGCCCATTATTTGTCCTCACAGTCCTCTATATATTGTTGTCCTCATTTGAACTCAACCCTATATATATATATATATATATATATATATATATATATATATATATATATATATATATATATATATATATATATATATATATATATATATATAATTGTAGAATTCATATTAATATTAATGAAGTAAGAATT